GCTCTTCTAGTTCTTCTTCATCCTCCATTGTTGCAAAGTTGGCAACCTTAAAACAAATGGACAACCCATTGTCTGACATTTCCCTATTTCCCAAACACCATCTACTAACACACCAACTCAAGCACTGTTTTTAATCTAACATGCTATGAATGATAATAGGACTCCTGTGATATTACATAATCAAATAATCAATTTTCTACTCATCTCTCCCTTATCGACCCCCCCCCAACAAAATCTACTTGCCAAATCCTAAAGTTCATCAGAAATTTTACTGAAAAACAGGGAAAGATATAAAGCTACAAACTGCCTTATTATAAGTTTTATTGAAAGATTTGCTGTTAAATCATACACACTTTCTAATGTACTAATTAGAAATTTTAGATTTATTTAGATTATAACATTTGAAAACCTAATACTAATCCATTACAAACTTACAGTCCTATACATTATAAATCGCTACTGAATAGAGCTCATTTGAAACAACCCATAACTCAAAGCAGTAGCTATTGGTTACCTTATTCATTTTTATCAAAAGTATAGAAGCTAAAGGTATGTAAGAATTTCATATGCTCAAAACTGCATGTTAGTCTTAGGAATAAAAACAAGAACACAAAATGCAAAAAACTGAAACAAACCTGGAAGAATATTCCATTTATTTCATATCAAATATTTAATATATTTAGACCAGGACACCATCATGAAGATTACTTCTGTTTAAGAAGGGAGCAGTAGCCATAGAAGTGAAATCCAGTTGAAACGCTAACAATTCACCTCCATCCTCTGCATCCAGACACTCTGATCCTAGAGCTCTGTGATCCACTCAACTCCTTCCTTTTTCTTCCACTAAGACAACTTCTACCTGTGGCCAACCTTGGACTTCATCACAAAATAATGCTTCCTTTCAAACACTTCTTCCTCAGCCCTTATGGGTCTACCACACATAAGCATCAATGTAACCTCCAGGTCTTCCCTGCTTCTCCAACATGCATGGAACCAAACCATGATGAATCCATTCAACCACGTTCTCACTGGAATCTGGGAAACTTGCCACTTTGATGACTCTTCGATGCCTCCCAAGCCAATCCTCCCACCTTGGATGGCCAACTGATTCAACTTCTCTGACCTCAAGTATTTCTGGAGCAAGTCATATGATCCTGCTGACTGGCTCTAATGTGAAGCCCCATCTTCTAAATTCAGCTCTACACCCTAAACCAAGTTCCTCCTGGCAACTCCTGGCCCCTGGATGGGACTATCCCAAATCTTTTCCACTTCTCAGCAAACACCTCACTTAATTTACTGGTAATTAAGGTCACCAGTTGGAACTCCTACATCTTCTCTCCCCTCTATTCCCTGAAGTGTATACTTTCCTTTTTCTTTCAAAGCCCAGTTCCTCCATCTGTGCTTTTGATTATATCTGTTCCAGTCTCCTCCTGGGCAATGTGCAATCAAATTTTCCTTCTTTCCTTAGAACCTTCAGTATTTCCCTATTCTCAGTTTCTTTCCTCAACCTAGAAACGTGGTAACACCTTTAAAAAACTTTGCCTTGCTTGATCCTTCTATCCTCAAAAATTACTTTCACTGTTCTCTTCACTAAGCTTTTTAATAATGTCTATACTCAATGCTGTCATCTCCTACTCATCAGGTGCCCAGCTTCTGCATTTAGTCCTGATCTCATTTAATTTTCTATCAAATACCACTAACTACCCCATAACTGTCCTTAAAAAAAAAAATCCCACCAAGTCAAGGGCTTCCCAACTGTCACCTTCTATTTTCATACCTTTGACCTCTCTTTCTTATGATTCTATTAATGTCTCTCCCACAACCTCTCCACCCCTCCCAGAGCTCCACACTACCAAGTTCTCCACCTATCCCACTGACAGCTTATTCTAGCCCTTGTCACAGCGACTTCTTTTCCTCTACCCACTGAATATGGGCAGGATGGACCGCTTCAGTGGTGACCCTCATGGGGAGGACTATATGGTGTATACCCACATCATACTTGGAACTCTGGAGAATGATTTTAAGGGGTATGAGTCAATTTTGGTAAATAGAGAAGCTGAGTCCCTTGCACCCAGGAAGTACTGACAGGCATTACTTATTATTGGTTCATGAATCAATGCCAAAGACTTTCTCAGACAATGATTTTCATACCTTAAATTGTGACAGAAGCTCATCTGTTGCACTTGTTGAGACTTCATTCTCTCTGGTTTCAGCCAAGCGCAAAATTTCATCTATATCCATTTCCTAAAAGAACAAGAGCAACACAAACATGGTAAAAAGGCAAGCAGTGGTAAGCATTTACTGAAAATGACTGGTGCAAATACACCAACTCCTTCTCTGATATTCCATTTTCTTTTACACTCTCAGTTTCATGTCCTTTATATCTAATGTTTCAAACTACTATTTATACAAATGATAAAATGAAACTTCAGAAATTACGAGAAATAAAATTGGGGGCTTCCCTGGTGGCGCAGTGCTTGAGAGTCCGCCTGCCGATGCAGGAGA